CGTCAACCTCACCGTCGATCTCTCCGTCAACCTAACCATCAAACATCCCATATGCACCACTAAAAACCTCAAATTATATGTTTAAAATTTAGATAAAATATATTATATAAATTAATAATTCAATATATATATATATATTTTTTTTACAAATTAAATTATATATAATTATGTTCAATAAATATATAATTTTTAATAATAAATAATAATAATATTATTCAAAAAGAACAATTATTAATATATATATATTTATAAAATAATAATAATAAAATATAAAAAAAAACTAAATCATACGAAAAAATATAAAAAAATAAAAATATATTTAATTTTATATAAATTAGATTAAAATATATATATATATTTACCGATATATCTATGTATTAGGCGGACGTCGTTTCTTACCCCAGGCACCCAGAAATTACCCCATCCCCATGGCACACAGGGTTACCCCAGGCAAACCGGAAATTATCCCAGGGACCAAATCCTATTGGCACACTAATACCACACCATCGTTGGTTTGGCAAATAAAATAGTTGAAATATGTCTGTACCATTGCGAAATACATATCTAATTCCATCTCCTTCGGTAATAAAATCATGTTGAAAATTAGCAACCGCCATTAGCATACACGCATTGATAGAAAAAAAATTGTTTTCCATCCAAATCAGAAAATAAACCAATTCCACAATACACGTCCCGTTTTCTTGTCATAACTCTGGACATGGATTTATTTGATTTCGGTACTGTAATTATTTGTTTCCCAATGGTACACCCAGTGCCAAATAAGTCGTGCAAAGCATCTCTGACCCGAGCCCCGGCGTCATCCTACGCCATTTACTAAAATTTGCGCCAGCCGCATGGCACCTTGCTTACGCCAGACATCAATAATCTTCCGTCAGGTGGAAATCCTATTAGCACACCGACGGTCAAAATGCATTAATTCTGAAACAGGCAACTCAAATATATTTATTAATTATGTGTTTAATGTACGCTTGATAGCCAAAAGTTGGCAGCCATATGCCTGCTTGAACAATCAGAACTATCAGCTATCATCCTCCGCATGGCACACCAAGTTTCATGGTATTTCCAACCTACAAACCGTCATATTCCTGTGGTTTCTATGATAAATTCTGTTTCATGCCAATCAATCCTTTCATCCACTTCCCCATAGCACACCGCTGATCGGATCGATTTTTTTCAGATAATTTTCTTATGCTTTTGGTTTCTTCCGCACAGCTTCCAGCCCTTCACAAATCTCTTGGTTCTCCGCCCAAAAACCGTGCCTTGCCCAGAAGCAGCAGCACAAGCAACAACAGCAGCAGCAGCAGCAGACCAAGCAGCAGACCATGGCAAAGCCTTCCCAAAACCTCTCCAGGCTGGGTTTTAACTGGCTGCAATTTTAACGAGGTCCGAACGAGGTGCAAACGAGGTCCAAATGAGGTCCAAAATCACATTTTGGGAAATTGACCCCCTAAGTTTCCTAACAAATTCTTTGGTACCCACATACTTACGCATTCTTTTCCGAACAGTAAAATTCAAGAGCTTTCAGCGGTGGAGCATGGTGGAGCAGAAGAGGAAACCAAGCCAAGCAGTAGCTGCAGGCAAAAGCAAGGAGATAGAAGAGGAGACAAAGGGCGAGTAAGGGAAACTGAGGGGAGACAAAGGGACGCAAGCTTGGCAAACAAGGCGGCGGTAACAAATTTGAGCGGGCATAGATTGTTTAAGACGTATTGTAAGAACCGTAATAGCCAGGTAAGCATCGTGTGCCTATGCAAAGTGCCAAAAAATACATCAGTAAGTTAAAATCATAGGCACTGACCATGTGGGCCTCTCCCTATTCCCCATAGGCACACCACGATTTGGCACAAAATCTTGTCATCGGCACTTGTTACAACATCGACCCAGCTCCCAAACTTGAACCCGAGAGCACCAAATGGCAGGCACACCGATGTTGGCATAAGATCTGCTGTGCTGCACAAAATTATTGAAGTACCCAGGGCCACATATTCTCTTTGACCGAGCATGCCACCGCATTTGGATGTCACAAGTATCAAACCAAGCAATAAAATAAACATGTTTATGACAACCAGTGTACCCCTGCGTCGTGTGCCTTGCAATGGACAAACAAACACTACGAAGGTTTCTGACTACAAATGGTAGGTTTATGTTGGTGAAATTCAGCGTGCCTATGCGTTTTATGGTCTTACAATAAGCACTGATCCAATGAAATAATAATATCATATATATCTTTTATACAAATTTCCCCACGGCACACCGACCTGAGACAACTTCAGGGGAGCCGAGACAAGAAACAACATGAACCCAGTATTGTATTTATATATTGTACCGACATACAGACATATCTGCAGACCTATATACCTACATACCAACATACCTACATACATACCTAAATACCTACATTGTATACCTACAGACCTACGTACCTATATACCTAGCGGCCTACATACCTACATACCTACATCCCTACATCCCTACCTACCTACCTGCATACATACATACCTACATCCCTACATCCCTACATCCCTACATCCCTACCTACCTACCTACCTACCTCCCTGCCTGCCTGCCTGCCTGCCTACCTACCTACCTACCTCCCTGCACACATACATTACATTACATTACATTACATTAAATTACATCACATCACATCACATCACATACATACCTACCCACGCGGGGGGGTGGGGACGAGGACCAGGAATGAGACCATGACCATGACGGGGGGGGTGGGGTTAGAGGCCTGTACCATATATATATATATTCTAGTATATATATATATATATCCATACATATTCATATATAATTATATATATATCCATATATCATATATAATTATATAGATATATATTCATATATCATATATATATATCCATATACATACTCTATATATATATCCATATATTTACATATTTATGTATATATATATGTATCACGATATATGGATATATAAAACATATTAATATATATATAGACTTCGGGATTATTTATTTCCTTGTGCCGAACCTTGGGCAGCCCTTGTGCGATGCAGGTTTAAGCCACTCCAAAGTTGACAAGTAACTGCCCTATGATGTTTTTTAAATAGGCTGGTTGTGCGACTGAAATATTCATGATAAATAATTCTTAATACCATTGCCAATCTACAACAAGCCAAGCCACTCATAAATACATAACTGATTTGAATAATGCGTCCTTTTCCAGCTGGTGGTTGTCCATATTGCCATCAAAATACTGCGCGGTGCTCGCATCGCATCATCGTTCTGGATTGCAGCTGGATCCAGATTTACATGGGTGGGTCCCATCTCGTCTCATTTGTCGCCCGGTTGAAGTAGTAAGTCTTCCCACCTTGGTGTCAGAGATGGTAGGGGACCAATGGATCTCAGCCATCATATATATATACACATATGCAGATGGTTATGTATGGATATACATACGTACAGTATGTCCTGGATAAATAACCATTTTTAAAACTTTCCCATGAAAGAACCTTCTCACAGAATCATTGCAAGCATACACTCCCTCTTTCTGATCCGATCTGCAACCTCTATCCTAGTCTTTCTCTTCATCAACTGTAGAAGGGTTCAGCTAAGGCAAGTTGAATTTCTACTCTGCACCGCTAGTTAGCAATCCAACGATCGGCTTTTTATGCCGAAAACTATGTTTTTGAGCGTTTGTTGATTGTCTTTCAACCCTCAGAGAGACATGAGTATTGGGGATCATCATCTCAGCTAGAGGGGAGAATACACAGGTTTGATATTACTTGCTTTTGATAGGTGAACCCTCCAATTTCGGTGAGTGAACCACTTCTTCTAGGTCCAACAAAAATGCATACCCCTCTCTGGTGGTGAATAGCCCCTAAGATCCATATTTTTTCATGTTTTTCCATAGGTTCTCAACATTTGGGTTTGAACTAGGGACACCGTAAAAATCCACTGGTTCATCATCGCGTTCCTTCAATTTCCCATTTTTTCATGGACTTTTGGGGCGTATACCTCAGAATTTCACAAAAAAACATGGGACAAATGATTATCACCCATTGGATTTTGGGGCTTTTCCCCCAACCATTTCTAATCTTAGATACCCTGCTAAGAATTAAGTTCTGAGCTGGTAGATATTCCTATTTATAGCAAATCATAAAGGATTAAACTAACCAGCTGGAAAAACACCAACTCAGCCAGGCCACTCGAAGGATCTTGCGCAGATTCCCAGCCCGGCGGCAGGCCACCGGGTGCGGGGAGCGCTTGCGGTTGCGGCATGGGGGCTGGGGCTGAAGGTGGTGTCCACTGCGTCTCCTGAGAAGTCTGCTTGATTTAGCCATTGGATAAACAACAGGGATAAATACTGGGATAAATAGAAATCTTCTGGGACAAATACTGATCTTGAGACTTTTTGACCAACAATTTGGGTGTGATGCATGAACTAATGAGGAAATTATGAGAAAATGAGTCAACTTTTGCGGGTAGCCTATTTCCAGATAAAGCCAAATGGAGAGAAGGAATCAGCATGTGGACTTTTGCCAGCAATATATAAATAAGAATGGTGGATCTAGTGAATTCTAAGTGATCATACTTAGGTGTACCCAAAACCCAGTCAAAGATCTAAAAATATGTCATAAATCGAAAATGCATACATATACCCTAAACCCAGTAGTTGTCATTTAGTTTCCAAACCAGGATGAGCAGTTTTCGAAGCACGGTGGCTGTGGCTTTGGATGTCCCAGATGTTTTTGAACATGCCCATGTCTTCGAACAACCAACGCAAGGATCTCACAAATGCTTCAAAGCGTTTCAAAGCAATGTTGTCTGGACTTTTGCATTTAATGCGGTATCAAGAATATGAATATATATATATATTCATTGGTTGCAACTGCCAAAAAACTATATACATTTAAAGATCCATATATACACAATTTATATCTATAGATATCTATAGATAATATATGTTTGTGCTAGTATGCAATAAGCCTGGGCCGTCCTTCATGGTAAAATTAACACAAGTATTGAGGTGCCGACCAAAGATTGAAGCATTGAGTGAGGACCCCTGAGCAAATGTCCCAAATTCAGAGGCTATGATATTGAATGTCCTGTGCAGGTGGCAATTGGTCTAGAGAAAAACTTAGAGTATTGATGCCAGATTCTCCAACTTTGAAACATCACTTGGTGACTTTCAAACAACATCTGAACATAGATCACCCATATTCCGAAGTTGTGTCCCTTCAAGTCCAAGCATCATTGGTGGCACGATTGAAGTAATAAGTCTTGCCGCTGGTGGGATCCTGGGCGCTTTCCCAGCCAGGTGGTAATCCCCCACCGCAGCCGCCGCCGCAGCCGCCGCCGCCGCCATAGCCCGGCTGCTGTCCGTAGGGGTTGTAGCGGGGGTCCCCGCCAGGGCCAGGTCCACCGCCCATGGGACCGTAGCCGCCCGGCCCTTGGGGTCCGGGGCCACAACCACCTTGGCAGCCGCCATACCTCGGGGCGATGACTTTTTGAAGGCCGAGATTCTCTGGTGAATCTTGTGACTCTGACTTCGAAATGTTGCTTGTAGGTGAATGTAACAATATAAATGGGGTATACCGGTATATATATAATATTATTTATATTGTGTATATATATATAAATATTTATATATATATATACATTTATTACAAACTATATAATATACATAATATTATTTATATTGTATATATTATATTATATATTACATCATATGTTAAATTCTATATTGCATTATATACTATATTACATATTATATTGTAATATAAATATACATATATATATATATAATACATTATACTATATTATATTGTATTATATCATATATTATATTATTTATATACATTATATCACACACACATGTATATATATATGTTTATAAACTCGTGTGTATATATATAAGCTAATTTTCCCTTCATATATGCCAGTTGTTCATCTCAGCATTGACATCCGGAGCACCCTCCTAAAATCGAACATTGTTTGCTGGAGAATCGCTCATGTATTTATAGTTCGGGGGTTTCTCAGCCATGTTTCATGATCCTATGGACAATTTTGTTTATCCCTTTATATCTCCATCATATCCCCATTCTATCCCATTGTATCCCTATGATAGTTGAAGGGTTAACTCAACTGGCAAGTTTCTGTGGGCAGCCACCACCCATGGGTTGACCGTAGTTCTGCTGCATGCCGTATCCACAGCCGCCACCTCAGTTCGTGCAGAGGTAGCCACAGCCAGGGAACAGATGGGACCACAAGAATGCATTTAATTTTGATCTGACTTGGTGATTTTTAATGTAGAATCCAATGGTTGTGGGGTCTCCAGTCCTATGGAAGGAAGTGCCATGATACCCCAGAAGTTGGGTATGGCAGAATGGTAGCAACTTCCTGCAAATGGTGCCGCCAACCAATTTTTGGCTGAGCTTATCTTCTGGTTGTGATTCAATGTGAGAAAAAAGAAAAGCTACAGTACTGCTCCTTTCTGCCAGGTGTTACCATTGGTGATATATCCCAACTCTGCAGGGCAAAAATCGGTAATAGTGATATGCTATCTTTGTTTGAGTAGATCTGCTGACGATCAACAATAGTCTATCCACGGTTGGGTCATGTCATTCTACACCCCCACCAACGTTAAATTCCTCTTAATCAGTGCTCCCAGAATGAACATATCCCCTACCAACCCAGTGTTTCTGAGGGAATGATTAGTTTTAATGGACTTCTGGATCGCGACATAGCATGACCACATCTATGTGTATGTCATGGCATGCCTAAACACTGACTGGCAATCTTCCACGCTTTATCCCCATTCTGCACAATCAATCTAATACAGTATCCCCATTCTATCCCCACAATATTTCATATCCCGATCATATCCCGATCATATCCCCATGACACCTCCATAAAGGGCTGTATAATATACATGTACGCAGTTCTAGAACAGTATCCATCAGTATCCCATTTTGCTGCCCTTACGTCTGCAAGGCACCGCATCCACCACCGCATCCGCCGCATCCGCCGCAGCAACCGCCGCCGCAGCCTCCGAAGCCGCCACCGCAGCCACCGCAGCCGCCGTTGTCGGGGCACCAGGATCCTCCGATAGGTCTGGGTCATTAGGGTCGCAACATGGGAGGGTAGCTGAAAATGGTTTTTTTCTAGGCTGTGTTTTAAAAATGGGGAGAATGATGAGAAAAACCATGAAATTTAGGGGTACCCTATTTTTCATACAGGATTATACAGTAGACATACCACCAAGAATGACATCATATTGACGTTTTGACACTGGACAAATGATGATACACCATGCGCTCACACAAGGCTGGTCCTTTGTTGTATTAGACTCATTAGACCATTGAATTTGGGGGTTGATAACTACTTGCCCATATCTTTGGTTGCAACCTATTCCTCCCAACAATAAATAACATTTCATCGAGGCTAAACCATTATTTCACATTGGATCTATTTATTAGGAGTACATCAAGAACGTTCAAAGGGATTCGTGCGCCAAGCATTCATTCGTGGCTGCCCCTGCCGCCCGCAAGACTTCACTGGATTTAGCCTGCGTTGCTGCGACCTTTGAATCTAAATCAGTAGTCCTTGATTGCCTACCAGCCAAAGTTGGGAGGGGCACCACGTGTAAACTGTGTATCTCTTTTGCATGCACATGTGTCATGATATGGCGTGATGTCACGCGGGGAGGTCTGAAACGCTGTGACATGGAAAAATATGATAAAATAAACGATGACGCAAAGATCTTCAAATCAAAGATGCAACGTATGATATGAACTTGTCATGTACAGTGGTAACTAAAGAAGATACTGCATATTCATTTGCACAACTTCGTCCCTGGCTCAATCAAAATATGTTTCAAACAAGACATCACGAATGATTCTCCAGTGCACATCGGGACCGCGACGAAGTGCATTGGAGTTCTCCAGGTCACCAGGATCATCCCATGGAGAAAGGAACTGGTTAGAAAAAATCAGAAGCCATAAAATGCTATAAATTATAAATGTTTAGTTACTTCATCCATGTATAAATGGGATATGGGATAAGCCCATTTATTTAGTAACTGGGTTATACTTAGTTCACCCATTTATAAATGGGATCACCCCACAGCATGGTGAAGCATGGTGCATGGTAAAGCCACCCAGAGTCAGTCCTGCTTTGTTCTTGCCCTTTTTGGCGTCCCATTCGATTTCATACCTCACCTGTGGCATCCATGGCGGATACATGGTTGGAATCCAGTTTTGACTCATTCAAAAATGGGGGCACTATAGAGAGGCGTCAAAGGTTCTCTAATTGCTTGTGACTCGTGACCAGCTGTCCATGCACGCATGCGTGTATTGGAAAAAAACTGAACAAAACAAGTACACTCCAAGACAGGCCCCGCAGAGTTGTTTAATTGTGTTCTAGATGCTCAAGGAAATCACTACTCACACTCCCTCATAGTAATTTTTGATCGAGGACTTGGAGCTTGCGAATTTACAGATTCCAAGCAAGAAATCTGCAATACAACGACCATGTCACCCCGAAGACATCACTATCATTTCTGTAGACATTTCATGCAAAAACTGCAGCATTTCATCAGCTCCTTTAGCCATAATCCCGACCTCCCATGTTATCCCTCCTTTGTTGCCATCTCAAGGGTGAATCTATGTTCCCATTTGCCCTCTGGGGATTTAACATCACTATTGACAATCCACCATTGTAGGTAAATCATCGCACTCAGCTTGGCCATGGCTGTTCGCAGCACATTTTTCAGCGGTTCCCAGCCGTTTCTCCCACCTTCATCCCATCTTGGATGGTGTTTTGGTCCCCCCCGGTGTACTGTCGCTGATGCGCAAAGAGGTCCTCCGACCCGTCGGCTGGCTCGATGAAACCAAAACCTGCGGGCCGTGATTTCTGTGAAGTTTCGTTAAAGAAACACACAGATAAAAATAGAATCATAGTATATCATCATAATAACGTTTGGTGCTTTCAACAAATATCAAAAAAGTTAGTGTCATCCTCGATGGTCACATCGTCAATACTTGGAACCAGCACAGACTTGGCGTCCTGAGATTTTGAGCCGTGGCTATGGAATGGCATGGACATTTAGCCACGGAGCTGCTGAATGACTGATATGATTTGTAAATAGAAGAGGGTTTGAAGCTGGTTGGTAGGGCATGAACCTTAAAGATCATAAAGACTCCATGGTCTGCCACCCACCAACTCAGTTCTTGGACTTTTCTTGGTGCCTTGGGGTTTGAAACCATCAACAGGCAAACCATCCAATGGAATCCAGTCCCCGAAGTAGCCAATAACACAAACCCACCTTTGTCTGTGAAGTATTTCTTCAGGGTGCCTTGCAACATCGCCTGTGCCGGGGGCTGACATCCTCCTAAATGCAGCTTGAGTCGACAGGAAAGACAGCTACTTCATCACTAAAAAGTCAATGTTCAGCCCCTGAGAAATGCGCGAATACAATACTCATAAGACTCCACCCGTTGACCAACATGAAAATGGAGTGTCCTTTCCCCATGTGATCTGCAGGAGTCAATGAGAATGGTCTCGAAGTACCCGAAGATCATGTTCGCAGGTCGATAGCTTCTCCACCAAAATAAACAATGTTGTGAGTTCCCAAAAAATTGGGACGTATCTGTTTGGACGAAACACGAAGCTGAAGTGGCTCAAGTTTGGGCAAACTACATGAGTCCCAAACAATGCCAAGGTATCCCAGGACATCCCATGTGGCCAGGCATGATTTTTTGACGACTTAAATGGGTGAAAAGGTATAACATATAAGAAGCAGCATGACAGCATGATTCTGCTGGGTTTCACAAGTACGCACAAACGCAAAATGTAAAGGGAAGCAAAATCAGCCAAATGACTGCAGTGTGTACCTTTGATCAGATCTGATGAACATGTTGGGCAGCACACAAACAGATTGGCGAAAACACATGTTAGAACACATGAAATTCAAAGGTCCTGCAAATGCCACCTATGTTGAACAGGTTCAAATCGGGCAGCTTTCTGATACTGCCACGACCAAATCACTATGTCTGACGCAAATTGTTTTGAGGGATCATACTTCTATCGTCTTTAATATGTACATATACAATATATATGTATACATACACGTACATACACGTAATTATATTGTATGTATTTATTACATAGATACACACACACACACTTGGCAATTGACTCCAAAAAGATAAAGCAAAGTCAGAAGTCTGAAAATACTATGAATCCATGAGGTGAATCTCACCTACAGCACTCTAAAAACTCCTTATATTTGGGCGCTTCCTATATCTAATGTATCTGCCTATCTATCCGCCTAATTATCTATCCATCCATCCATCCGTCTATCTATATAATATATCTAGTTGTCTATCTATCAATCTGTAAGTACTTCTGTCCTGTCTGTCCTTTTTTTCCTTTCTTTCCTGTCTTTCCTTTCTTTCCGTTCTTTCCTTTCCTTCCTCTATTTCCTTTCTTTGTTTTATTTCCTTTCTTTCATTCATGATATTTATCTATCTATCTATCTTATCTTATCTTACCTTACCTTACCTTACCCTACCCTAGCTAGCTAGCTAGCTAGCTATCTACCTATCTATCTATCTACCTATCTATCTATCTATCTGTCTATCTATCTATCTATCTATCTAATCCATCTAATCTATCTAATCCATCTAATCTATCTAATCTATCTAATCCATCTAATCTATATAATCTATCTAGTCCATATAATCCATATAATCTATCTAATCCATCTGATCTATCTAATCTATCTAATCTATCTAAGCTATCTAATCTATCTAATCTATCTAATCTATCTAATCTATCTGATCTGATCTGATCTGATCTGATCTATCTATCTACAATCTATCAAGCTATCTTTCTGTCTATCCATGTCTATCCATCCATCCATCTATCCATCTATCCATCTATCCATCCAGGCATCCATCTATCTATATCTATCTATATCTAGCTTTACTCATCTACATCTATCTATCTATCTATCTGTCTGTCTGTCTGTCTATCTATGTATCCAATCCAATGTAACCTAGTCCAATTTATCTATCTACCCTTCCATCTATCCATCTAGCGTGCGTATATGTATATGTACATTACATAGTTCCGTCATGCTTGACCCATCCCATGATCTTCGACGTCATTTCCCGTGGCCATTTCCGTTTCCCGTTGGGTCCCCCACAGCAGTGGAAGCGCCGCTGGCGTCCACGCTCCAACTGGCTGCCCGATACTTTCCTTTTCGGTCGTCCCATTCAGCCTGATGAGTTTTCGGCCTATCACTGGGGGTTGGTTATGAGCCCAGTGACCCAGTGATACGTGGACTACCCTCCAGTAACGGGAAATGCCATATCAATGGAGGTTGAATGGGAAAAACATGGAAGAACATCTATAAATTAGCCCAGTGATAGGTGGACTAAGCCTAGCCTATTTATAGGGACGGTTATAACATGTGATCATGGTTCATGGTTATAACCTATACTTCCTAACCGGGACGAACCACTAGCGGGGGTTGGTTGTTACAAGGGCAAATCACTGAAACAGGATTGGGTGGAGGGGGTTAGGAAGATTGGATGGGTATACATATATATAATATGGGATGTATGAATGCATTTATATCCTGAATCAAAGGCTTGTGTACTATGGACCCATTTACGTATTCATGTGTATAGTATGTGTAATATATATATATACACAAAATACAACTAATATAATTATATATATGTACAATTATGTACAATTATATGTTGTACATATGATATAAACATCTATTTCAATATTTTAATATAGTATAATTTGCTATCTTATAATATAACATATATACATATTATGATATCTAAAGTATAATCATACATATTAAATATGCACACCCACACATATTATACGGCAAGGGGACAAACTTCAAGTTCTGACTTATGTGGCCATATGTGGCCAGGTTCCATTCTGCCCTCCACATCTGTTGAAAAAAACGATGTGCAAAACACCGCGCAACGCGCAGGTCCACCCGAGCAAACGGAAACAAAATCAGATTTTATCGATTTGTTGATTTGTCCAATTGCAATATATACACTAGTAGATCTTGTTGATTGCTACAAATGTGGATGTAAATCATCAATCGTGCCTTAACTTAGAAATACTTTCGAACCCCCAACACCGGGGTAGATGTTGGAAGATCAAATCGTTCTGCAAAAACTTTATCACCAATCATTCACCAGTCATTTTACCCAGCAAGAATTTGGAAGTGCCGGGTTCCTGCACTCATTCCATGATATCATGGCTAATCTTGGATACAGCACCCTGTTTATCAGAACCTGGGCGATCAAACATTCCTTGACTTTTGCCTGCCATTCACCAGTCGGTTTGCACAGCTACCAAATGATTTCAAGTATAATTAGTTGCCTCCCCATTTCATGTTTTCAACCCATTCACAATCCATTCAATAACCCATTCATTGCCCTCCGGTAATCAAACGTAGCAATTGAACATCCTCCCTTCATGGATGGTGTTCCATTAAAACCTGTATTGAGTTCGGGGATTTCCCAGCTAGCCATGTTTGATTGCACGGGGGAAATCCATGCACCCAAGGCCCAAGGCCCAAGGTTTTCCACTCCGATTTGGGCCTCGAAGATCACACGCTCGCCTCCCCGCAGGCTGTCGCCATCTCCGCTAAACCTAGATGTGGAACACACCAATTTCAGCAACAGAACATCGGGGATAAAATTGATGAATCAGTAAGAAATAGTTGTTTTACTCAGTTATGTCAGCATTTGCCAACCACTCATGGTTGTGTCCCCATGTATCCCATTAACCAACGCGGTTGAGGTTCTGATAATTTTTTGTGAAAGTCAATGGGGATCACATCCAAAATCAGGCCCTGGAGTGACATGGTGGGGGTGGAATGCCACTGTCGGCCCCGACCCATCTCAGTCTCCTGCATTGCGAGAATTAACCTCCCATTATCAGTATGAAACAATATGACATGCAAACTGTGGTGCTTTCCGAATGACAATTCCATTGGTCCACGATTTGTGGGTTTGATGCTTGATGAATTCGCCCCCACCGCAGATTGCCGAGATGCTGCAACGTGTGTGCAAAAATGTCGTCACCTCCCTCATCTGGTGTGATGAATCCGAAACCCTGGCAGGTGATGGCAGGTGATGGCAGGTGATGGCAAGTGATGGCAGGTGATGACAAGGGTTCGACGTTTCCAATTGGCCTCATAGTTTCAGAGACAGGTCCACGGATTTCAACTTCCCACCCCGGATCCCGGGAGGCACCTTCTCGGAGACAAATTTCTTCAACTTGCCACTTGGCATGGTTAAGATACACTAATCTGTACGAGTCGTTCCGGCGGCGTGGAACGGGCACGACGTTCACGTTGGACCTTTTCTTTCCCTGGGCCGACCTGGTGACTTCACCCAGTTTCCAGGTGAAACTTCCTGAACCGAAAGGGCGGGTTGCGAAGTGTCATGGTCGTCGTGGGCTCGGCGGGAAACTTGCTGGAGCTGGGTCCAACTAAAGCGCTAGAACTGCCTGGAGGGATACCTGGTATGCATACATTCTATGATATATTAAAAACATGTAGACCTCATTGTCATACATATATTATATATATGCATGAATACATTAAATTAATTACATTCCATTCCTTTCCATTCCACTACATGAATACATACACATGGTGTACATGACATATACAAGCTTGGTGTATTGCAAGATCTACGACAGGTGTCCCACATGCTTCTGTAGGGCAACATTAGGATGTACGAAAGCTTCTCCAACATTAGAGAGACAATAGAGACAGCACAGCCTGGTGACTTTTTGAAACAAAGTCGACAGTAGCTTTGGCTTCCTGGAACTCTCTCTAACTACTTCCGGGTGGCAACGACGAAGATTGCCATGATCTCATCTGGCGCAAAGCCTGAAACTAGGCTATTCAAAAAAGTCTGAGCCATGATCATCATTTGTTCCATTCAAATGGCCGCTTAACGAGGCATGCCGTATGCTCCCAGTTGAACCAAAGCCATATCTTGGTTTGCTATTTCCACATGAAAGTCAGCTTCAGTCACCACTCGTTGGCATCTCTGTCGGCTTTGTTGCCCTTGCCATATTTCAGGAACACCACTGCTTCACACTTTGTGGCGGAGCATCTTGAAATCTGAAGGATCAGGGAGGATTAGGGCCGATGTTTGGCCCGTCAAATGACCCACTGATGAGTTGAATCTTGGCCGGTCAAAATGACCCATCCATGTTTGTCAAACAATCTATGGAACATGGCTCATTTATAAGTATCTATAGGAGGCAAAGCTACTAAACATGCTGTTTTTTCCCTTGCAATCTCTTAAATTACATTGAATACCAGACTGAGTGTAACAACCACATCTTCTCAGAGTGCAAGTCGGCATCTCAAATTAGCCAGGTCAATGGAGTCATCAGTGGGGAATGAACTACTATACTTTCCACAATCCATTGTAAATCAGCAGTGCCAATCCAGAATATTCATGAATATTCAAAATATTTTTGAGGATTGAGGCATGTTTACTGTAGTCATGTTTGGAATCTCACATGAATCAGTACTGATCAGTGAGTGATGTTGGGCTCACCCGAGTACAACGCCAACAAACGTCTACGTTGTCTGTTACACATCAGACCAAGTTCCCTAACTTCCCGAAACCCTGACGCTGCTGGTCTCATAGTGTTTCGGGAAAGCCATCACTGTAGCGACCAGCACCTGTGCCACATGGGGGTATCTTCAGGATCAAGAGTCGACGATAGCAGTCAGATGGCTGTTGGGGAGATCAGGAATCTGAACCTTTTTTCATCACATGGTACGAGTACAGTTACCATTCCATTCGTTCCTTTAGCTTAGGTTGGATCTCCATTACCAAACGCGGCCAAAAACACAACAGTACCCAAAGGGGGGAGGGGTCAAAAGATGTCAAAGGTATTTAAAGATATCCCAAAGGTCGTATGAATTGGAAAAAACAGAATGAGACTATGAATGGGGGATCGAAACTTCATTTATCTTCGTTTACCTTTTCGCTCATCAGATGTGGCAAGCTGGGAAATCCCGGAACATCCTGGAACTAAACGGAGGTTCCTGAATCGTAAAATCATCGAACTAAACAGTGGATTCTCCAGAAAACCATGGTTGATTACTGGAGGGTACGCATCGCACCGAGACGGACGGGTCGAAGCGGAAAAGTTTCCGCCAAGTGACTCAAGAAAGGATGTTTCAAAGCCTCTGAGGCTGTAGGTCTCAAACAAGGATCCACCTGTGGCACAAGGGTCTCACCGGGGCACCTCACTAATAAGCAAGAACTCCCAATTCCCAGCCAATGGTTTTGAAATTGCAAGTTGTGGGTGAAATGACTTGAAATGTTTAGCCTTCAGCCGGACAGGGTCCAATTTTGCATCGGACCATGGATCAGTCTACGACATCGTAGACCAAGTAGTTCCGCCTTCTACATCCTGAAATTTGCCTGCGCCTGATGGCCTAAAAATTGTGGACGCAATATAAAGTCAGGTAAATAATGTATATGAAATATATACATATACAAATAAACATATATAATTATATATATATATACGCGTAAACTGTAAGTTTTCCATGGTGTTCCAGGTGGTGTCTTCATGGCCCTTCAATGTCTGCTATTCCAGGAATGACCTTCACATCATCCCCCACAACGTCCATGCCTGTAACAAAGAGCTTAAGAAGTCCAAGAAGGCCTGCAGGGAACATGTCCCTCAGGGTATGGCTCAATTTTGGGCGATCACCAAATAAGTTGCCGATGTATATGGGCCACGGTCAATATTTAATATATACCTCCAAACCATCAAAATTGAAGAGTGCATTATCATTTTCAGGTTTTGGGAAACTCTGTTCGTATTCCCTGTATAGTCCATTGTATCCTCATGGTTTTCCAGCAAGGGATGAGATGCTTCTTGGCACCTTCAAATGCAGCACAATGAAGCAAAATTCTCGGACATTCATTTTCTTCATGGAACGGTCGTCACCACTAGCACAACCACCACTATCACATCACAACCACCACTATCACCCACCACTGTCACCACCACCACTATCACAACCACCACTATCACAACCACCGCAACTGACGAAAGCTTCATTTTCACATCTTCCACTTTCAATTTTTGAGGGAGGTCTCGCACGAAAACTTCGTTTTTACATCGTCAATTTTCACCTTTTGAGGGAAGTCTCGTACGAAAGCTTTGTTTTCATATCTTCAACTTTTCAGATTTTGAGGGAAGTCTCGCATGAAAACTTCATTTTCACATCTTCCTCTTTCATTTCAACAACTCATTCAGGAAACATCTGAGCCCTGCCATGTCTTGCGCTTGCTTGCTGCTCATCTTGGACGAGCAACGCGCGCCAAGAAAAACAGTTTTTCAGCGAGCAATGGGCCAGTGTCTGGCCGAGAGGGATTATGTGATTTTTTGGTTATCGTTTTGTTATCATTCGGGTTATCGTTTGGGACAACTGGTTGGATCAAAAAAACCTGCAAAACAATGATTCTGGGAAACCTTTCTTTTGAAAATTCTTAATGCTGTCTTGAACAAAGCTTGAGGCTGCTGCGGAAAACGAAAAGCGCAAACTCCAAAAGGCATAGAGGAAAGAGCGGAATCTAGAGCAGCCAGACTGTTCCTGCCGCAAGGCAAGCCCTTGTTCTTTCCTTTCTCTAGCATGGCGCGTTGTCACTAGCAAGAGTTGAGGCAAAAGACTGAAATGTGGCCGTACAGTACGAGTACTTGAAATGTACTCAGCATGCAGCGCAAACAGCAGCATAAACAGACCATCGCCACACAGCAATGCACATCACCAGGTACCACCTGTTCAAAACAGGATTTGGCCGTTTGCCTATCTCTCAAACAGATGGAGAATGCTATTGAATGCCTACATAAAGGCATCGAATAACCTGCACAGTAAGACAAAGGATGATTGATGACCAAGATCAAACATAAGCAAATGTCATCGGTTTTTGAAGAGTGTATTGTCGTTTTCCATGCCTCAGCTCAATTTCCAAAAATAGAGATGCCATGAATACTACTCTCCATTACAGTAAATTTCGGCTGTAGCTCATATGCATCAGTATATATATATAACATACACTGTATGCACAAACGTGAACACATATGAACAATAAAATAAGTGTAATGTCGTATATGGTTGAATACTATTCGAAGGACGTTTAGAAGTCAAACTTCCGACAATATGGACAGCTGAAAAGCAAAGCAGGGAAGAGGCAGAGAGAAGAGGAAGATTAGAAGAAAGAAGAGTAGAAGAGAAAGAGTAAGAAGAAAGAAGATGCAGATGCGCGAAAAGGTAGGAAAGTCGCGAAACACTGTGTTTTTCCAATGATTTGGGGCTCCGGAGGGTCGAAAAGTAGGCTCGCTAAAGCGGCGGGTGCGGAGCGAGCTGGCCAGATGAGAGATGAAAATTTGCACGCCGTTGTGGCGCGAAGCACATTTTGAAGTCAAAATGTACAAAACACCTCAGGTCCGGACCACTTTTGGAAGTTGAGATGTCGAAAAAGTGCACGCCGTTGTGGCGCGAAGCACATTTCCAAGTCAAAATGTACAAAACACACCAGTGTCGGACCACTTTTGGAAGTTGAGATGTCGAAAAAGTGCACGCCGTTGTGGCGCGAAGCACATTTCCAAGTCAAAATGTACAAAACACACCAGTGTCGGACCACTTTTGGAAGTTGCGATGTCGAAAAAGTGCACGCCGTTGAAAAAGTGCACGCCATTGTGGCGCGAAGCACATTTCCAAGTCAAAATGTACAAAACACTAGCGGTTCAGACCACTTTTAAAGGCTCAGATGTCGTTTCGCTTCACTACACTACACTACACCACACTACACAACACTACAACCACAACTACACAACTACACAACTACACTACACTACATTACACCACACTACACAACACTACAACCACAACTACACAACTACACTACACTACACTCCACTACACTAAATTACACTCCACTACACTCCACTACACTAAATTACACTCCACTACACTACACTACCTTCCACTACACTTCACTACATTACATTACACTACACTCCACTACAACTACAACTACACAACTACACTCCACTACACTCCACTACACTAAATTACACTACGCTACACTACATTACACTACACTACACTCCACTACACTACATTACACTACACTACTTTCCACTACACTTCGCTACATGACACTAAACTACATTCCACTACACTACAACTACCACTACAACTACACTCCACTACACTCCACTACACTAAATTACATTACACTACACTACATTACACTACACTACATTACACTACCCTACACTACATTCCACTACACTCCACTACACTACATTACACTACACTACATTACACTGAATGACATTGCACCACAGATAGACAGGTAGAC